TGCGTGCGTGCGTGCGTGCGTGCGTGCGTGCGTGCGTGCGTGCGTGTGTGTGTGTGTGTGTGCGTGCGTGCGCGCGCGTGTATGTGAGTGACGAGTCACTACCAGCAGATTCGAGTGCGCCTACATGATTATGTATTCATACTGGCTGGCCTGTTCTCTTTTGGAACAGACTGCATGGAGTTGCCTCGCATGGGAACTTCTGAACTGTCATGCTCCAGCTGAAGACTGTGTTACAACTTAGTGAAGTAGTTGAAGGTAATTAAATAACCTATACTGCCTATAGCTGTACTAAACTGTCCTTTTAGTTCTATATTTCACAGTCGCAGAATATTTATGCAGAAATCTTTATGACTACGATTAACAGATGATATTACATATATAGATATATATATAGAGAGATAATATTATGTAATAGTATGATATACATGCGTACGTACATTTAATTGGCACGTTTTGTTTCTGTGAAACAGATTAAAGTTGCATCACATGGGATACCAAGCCATCTCCATCACCGAATTACCAGTGATGAGGAGATGTGGAGAGGTGGCGAGAGAGACACACACGCACACAGAGAGATACACATAGAGAAAGAGTAGAGGAGGCATAATGCGGAGGAGAGAATAAAATCAAAAGCCCAAGAAGTTTATGTATATATACACACACACAGAGAAATTGATACAATCAAGAGCGTATAAAGAAGGCTCTTCTTTATACGCTCTTGATACAATAGATGTGTTTGTGTTAATCTATCTGTCTATCTGTCTATCTGTCTATATCTATCTAGTATCTATGTATATATAATGATGTTTACCTAGAATGCTTATTCAGGAATTATCACTATGTATAGTAACGAGAGCTAATAATACCTTATTATAGCTCAGCTCCTAGTTATATAGGTATTAATAGCTCTTGATTGTAATTATGCTTTTATTCATTTCTGAAAATATCAGCTCCTGAAAATATTATATAGGAAGGTTCGTGATTTCATATGTACATGTGTATAGTATTATATAATAATAATGTTTATCTGGAATGTTTGTATTCAGAAATTAACACTGTATTGTAGTGTTGTAGGTCTCGATGCCGGTCTTGGCCTCGAGACCGTTTTCCTTGGTCTCGGTCTCGGTCTTGGCCTCGGAGTGCAATGACTCGGACTCGGACTCGGACTCGTGGGGGGGTGCGGACTCGACTACAACACTGCAGCTAATACAGGTTATACGCGCATTACATACATTGTATAAATCGACGAAATGATGACTTAAAGTCGTCATTTTCCTAAGTCGACACAAATATGCTGGTCCCAAAAGTGTCGACTTATGCAAGTTTTACTGTACTTTCTATTTCATGCAAACAAGTGACAGATCCAGGGGGCAGGAGACACGCCCCCCCCCCAATTTTTAAACAAACACATACATAGAAGTGAGTGGCATTGTCGGTCTGTGCCCCCTTTTTTTTATCAAAACTGGACTCGGACTCGGACTCGGACTCGGGGGGGGGGGGGGACTTGACTACAACACTGCAGCTAATACAGTGTATACGCGCATTACATACATTGTATAAATCGACAAAATGATGACTTAAAGTCGACACAAATATGCTGGCCCCAAAAGTGTCGACTTATGCAAGTTTTACTGTACTTTCT